AGGATTATTTAAACAGAGAATACCCTGGTCGCTGGGTCGGTCGTGACGGGCCTTGTGCATGGCCTCCCAGATCACACCAATGGATTTTTATTTGTGGGGGCATGTAAAGACATTAGTGTATACTGGTCGTGCATTCGAAACCCACGACATGTTGAAAGAAAAAATTATTTGGGCATTCGATCAAATCAAAATGAATCATCAAGTATTATCTCGTGTCGGTGAACAGTTAAGTTTTAGGTGTCAATTATGAATAGAATGTGGAGGTGATTATTTCAAACGCTATGTGCGCGATACTCACCGCCATCCGTGGACAAGTACCTAGGTAAGTCTAATTTTTAAATTTGAATTTTAATATTTTTATTGAACCATTATACTTTAATATCTTTATTCAATTACTGTTAATTTATATTTAATCATTATAAATATTTTATTGTAATATTTGTAATTATTTTAACCTGCATCCATTTTTTAAATACAACTTACATTAAATAAAAAAAATAGTTAATAATACTCATTTAATTTGCACGTGCTGCAAACATCGATCACCAAATCGATGCCTGCAAACCGAAAAGGGCAGGCGGCGCCTTTGATGACGGTGACACCTGTGTCGACGTTATAATATATCGTTGGCTTGGCCTTGGGCCGCCGCATGTGCGACGTTGAGGCGTTGCCTCTTGGATGCAGGCAGAGTTGCTAGCAAACAGTATTCGTAAAAAAGACTACCTAAATGTCTATTAAAGAATGTCTATTAATTCTTAAAGAAATTAATAAAAGAATGAAATAGTTCATCAAATGGTTTTATGCAAAATAAAGAAGTATATGAAAAGTTAATGTAAAGTCATTTAAAGTGGCGCCCTGGTGCAATAAGCACAGTCATGAATGGTTTAGTAGGCACTCGCAACTCAATCAGCTGAGCGCGGGCGTCGACCGGGCCGGAGGTCATTCTTACTTATTATAAATTTTAATATTTGTGTTTTTTTTTTTGAATGTCATTTGCTCATTTAATTATGTTTAATGATTTCAACACAATGTGTGATACTGATATCAAGTGTAAAATAAATAAGGCATTTTCTTTGACGATTTATTCTGACATTGTTTAGGTACTACAAAATACAGACTTAAAAGGAGTCAGACATGACAACAAAACCTTAAAAGTAGTTTTTTCGTAAATGTATTATATTCTGTGAAGAGTGATCTCGCTAAAATTGTTTGTAATGATGTAACCAATATATTCCCAAAAGGTCTTTAGTAAATTAAAAATGACCCTGTATATTTGCATTCTATAAATGTATATTTCTGGCATGGCTCCAGGGCTTTTATATCATAGTGACATTCTTAGAAGGGCTAGAACCCAAAGCCGTAAAGCCAGAAACAAAATTGTTGTTGTTTTTATTATTCGCTCGAGAGAGCAGGCAAATGAACTATGCCATACAGCCTTACTTTACCTTTATGTATAATTATCCTTCATAGTTCATTGCAAAGAGAATATAACCACTACGTTTAAGAGGCGGGACTTCCATAGTAAAAGTAAATGCATGTAAGTACGCCAAGCTACTCTACCAACATCAAGATATGACATTTAGTTTTGATAAACAGTGTTGACAACATTGACGAATTACAATAGTGCTGTAAATGTCTATCCTCCAATAATTTTATCGATATAACCTTTATCGATATATTGTTTATCGATATTTTTACATAATAAAAGTTAGATCTCTATACTGAATTATTTATTTGAAATAAATTTTTTAACGTGGGGATTGAATAAAAATGAAATTTGTAATTATATCTACAATTAGGTACAAAAATATGTATAAAGAAAATATAAAATAAAAAACGCACTAATATACTAGTAATTAATTAAGAAAAAAATAAACGACGACTGCGTAGCGCAGTGGCTAAGCGTTTGGCTGCGGCATGGCAGGACCGAGGCTTCATTCCCGCACTGCACAATTGTTGTTATGCTATAAAATAAATAGTCTGCGTGTGGATACTTGTTTTCAACGTTTGTTCTTTTTAATGGTAAAAATATGAGGTTTTAACACTGATTGGATTAAATTGCTTTTGTGTGTAACAAATACTATGTACAAATCGCCAGGCTTCTACACAGAGGTACCTATGTACATACTATTCGCAGAGATCGTTTACTAATTGTCGCTTTCAAAATGAGTGCTCATTATAGCTAATGTTTATAGATGAATCTATAAAAAAAATATTTATAACCAGGTAATTACAAATAACTTTGAGTTTATATAATCCAATTCTTACCAAAATGTGACTTTAGAGGTATATTATCTTTGGCTACATAAATGAAACCTAATTAACATACACATAATTGTGGAAGTTTAAATTAAGTCCACTGATGAAATAACAGTTCGTTTTAGTTGGGTTCAAATGCAATGTTTGCCACAAATATGTTTTAATATGTGAATCTTTTCAATTGGTGCATGTGCCAGCTATTTCACACATTGCTTGCATCTGAAAAATAATATACATAAAATCATATTTTTAATGTACAAATAGAATATTTGCAATCACAATTGACTGTGTAGTTTCTAAGTATAGTTCGTTTCAGATTGCCATACCGTCGCACTATCAGATTTAGGAAATAGTGTGTTTGTATTTGTGCACACAATCGTACACTATAAAAACCTGTCCTACGTAGATGGCTAGTCCAAAAATGTACTCGCGTTATAATGTCATATTACTATTAAAGTTGAAATCACCACATACCTTTTATCATCTAAGGGAAATATTGCTACAAATAAGGCTATTTATATAAGAAAAGGCTTTCTTGTTATCATTTTTTCCGCTTCTCGCACCGTTTAATTGGAAAGTTTTATAATGCATATTTAATTTTTTAACAATTCTGTAAATGAACAACGGCTCCTATAGCAAAATTAAAAGCAATCTTAATAAATAAAATATTTACAAATGTAATTGTTTGATTTGATAATGTCGTTAATAGATATATTACGAAAAGCAGAAAGAAGAGGTAACCGTCATTAAAATTTGACCCCTGTAGTACATATAATTTTTACTATGGAAGTTGCACCAGACTGGTTCACTGCTTCACAATATGTTGATGCGTCACATCGTGCAGCCCTTGGGAGATTTTGGCGGCAACTTGAGCCAGCAGGCAGCTGACAGTTGGCGATGGTATCTAAAGGCGCCTATGCAAACAAACAGCTTATCTTGAGAATCCATCACCATCAGAGCACTTGTTGCACCGTTTCCACTAATAGTTCACATGTGTAGACAGTTAATACATAAAATCGCACCACTTTTACATATCAAAATTCACTTCAAATTATTATTTAAACTATAATACAGGAGCAGCAAACCGCCGCCGATCAAGTTCCCGCCAAAACTCGCCAGTAAAAAAAACAGTGACATTTTATTTTAGCTAGTGTTGGCATAACATCAAATGGAATTGTTACATAGTACTATGATTGAGATAATGTATTATTGTTGGAAATTCTTTGTAAGAGACTTATTCTTAGCCATATCACTTTTATTTTTATTATTACTGATAGTACAGTTATTACTAATAATAACATAATATAAAAATATTTTGTGTGTTGTGTAGGTAGTCTTACAAAGTGTATACGAAAATAGTATGAATGTACTAAATGGCAACATTTGAATAGAGTAAAATGATTTAAGTCATTTGATATTCCTAAAAATGTTTGTTTTTTTCTCTGGCTTTAATTAAAATACATTTTTATTTGAAAAATCATAGAAAAATAATAAAACTCATTTTATATATAACTTATTTCTAGACGCTATAATTTTTGTCAACTATTTTTCTGCCATTGCTCTTTAGTTTTATTATCTTTTTGCACTTAATATTGCATTTTATCCATTTTTAACGATGTTGCAATTATATTAAAGCAAGATGCAGTTTTTTCATATTGCGATAAGTACCCATTTCTAATTATTTGAAATTATATCGATGTTATAAGTTGATCAATATTTATCTATATTTTATTTATATACTACATGGGTGCAATTTAAATAATTAATTTTTTTTGAGATGTACTATTTAAAATACATCTGTCAGTATTTTTTATTTTATATATACTCCAAATTCGTATGCTGGGGTAGAGCGGGTGCAATCAACACTTAACTTAACTTTTTGTGCTTATCATTACATTTTATGCATTTTTAACGATGATGCAATTATGTTAAAGCAATGTGCAGTTTTTTATATTGTAAACAGTACTTCACTCTAATTATTTGAAGTAATATTGACGTTATAAAGTGAGCGATCTTTAACTATTTGTTATTTTTAAATTACTTAAGGGCATTTTAAATAAGTAATATTTTTGAGATGTGTTATTTGGAATACATCTGTCAATATTTTTTAATATATATACACCAAATTCATAGGCTGGGGCAGGGGGGGGGGTGTCTATATGCCAATATATTCTAAGTCTATGGGTTCAGCAACTTTTCTTCTATGTTCTATGCATTGGAGAGTTTTGGAGGGAACTTCACTGCCGCTGAATTATAATTGTTTCTGTACTAAAATAAAAGTTTGAAGTGGACTTTGATAAGTAAGATTGGTCCGATTTTACCATTAATGAAAACGATGTTACAAGTGCTTCGATGGTGATTTAAATCTCAAGTATATTTATCCACTTGGGTTGCTTGAGATACTATCGTCATTAACTGTCGATTATGGTATCATCAAAAGCTCCCAAAAACTTTTCAATGTTATTTGTCAGCATATTGTGACGAAAGTTGTAAATAAATTGCACATCACATTCAGACCACATACATATCACATACTGACCATACAGGCTAGCTGTATGGTCTAAGACCTTTGGCTACCGCATTTAGCAAAAATGGCAAATCGTAAAAGCAAAGCAAAAGCTCTATGCATTATTTTAATCTATGATTCGACGGCTTGCTTGCCGCCTGCGCGATTTTTTAGGAAATTCGCGCGTCAGTTATTTTTTGGGTATATTTCATGTGCACATCAGTAACTGTTAAAAATGGGTGCCTATTTATCAGAACCTGTTACCGAAAAAATATCCAGCGATGAGACAAATGACAAACTAGAATGCGGTGCAAGCTCCATGCAGGGATGGCGTGTCAACCAAGAGGTACGATATTGTTTGTTAATTAAACTGTTTTATCTGTCGATAACTCGCACTTATTTCATTTATTTGCTTTTTATTTTAGAGAAATACTTAGACCATTTATTAGATAAATCCTTAACAGCTTTGTAATTTGTTTTTACACTCATTTTCATGCGGTTCATGAATAATTGAGTTTTATCTATCGAAAGATGTTCATTATTATATTTTTAAATTTACTTGCACCTGCATATTTCTAGGATTCACACAATACAATCTTGGACTATGATGTCAATACATCTTTTTTTGCTGTATATGATGGTCACGGAGGAGCAGAGGTGGCTACATATTGTTCACAAAATTTGCCAGACTATATTAAAAAGTCAGAAGCATATAAAAGAGGTGATCTAGTTAATGCTTTAACAGAAGCCTTTTTGGGGTTTGATGCCACAATAGCAACTAAAGAAGTTATGGACATTCTGAAAGAACTAGCAGGTACAGTTGTGATTACTACATTAAAATTTATTATACATTTTTATCTTCCGTACTTTTGTAAAAATGTATCTAGTGCAAAATTCTATACCTAATTACTTCATTTTCCATTTATTATTATTAATTTTTTTTTTGTATAAAGAAAACTTTATTTAAATAATTGGTTGTTTATTAGGTGAAATAAATCCTCCGGGTCCAAGTGATAATGAAGAGTCTGAAGATGAAAATGTTAGTAATTTATATCAAGAAGCACACCTACCTTTACAGGTGAATTTTACTACCATGTTTCTAAATATGAAACAGAATGATAAGAGTCTCACCTATTCATATTTTTTTATTATTTTTATTTAAAAAATGTTATCCCCACAGTAAAGTTTTCTCCTGTATTATTAAGGCAGTATACAAACATAAATTACACAAAGACAAACATCCAGACCGTAACAATTATTTGTAGGCTATACAAATACTTGTTCCGTGTGGGATTGGAACCTGTGGCCCTTAGTGCAGTAACTCAAGCTAATCCACTGTGCCATGGAACTGTCAAATCTTTAATGGATGAAGATGAGGATTAGTCAATTAATGCAAATGATGCCCATTCAACTTCTCTTTACAATATATAACAAATATTATGTGTTTTTAAATATAAATGACAATACCTTTACTGCCTTAGGCCAAGACACTTGTAAAATATAATAATAAATAATCATGTGTTTAAATGCCATTAGAACCAAATATCTGCAAATGTGCAAATTATTTGTTTTCAGTTCTGGATATTTCATGTTGTCTAATATTTCCTGTAATATTATTGCATATTCTATTATCTTACTTTAAATATGAAATGGTGAGACAGAGGGTGTAACTTCTTTTATATTGGTACTTAAGGTACAATTTTGCAGAAAGAATCATTAAATGATTTTATTCTTTCTAGTTTTTTTGATTAGGTTAGTAATTTAAATGTTGATTGACTTGTCATAAAATATTACCTACAAAATGTTTTTACTTGTTCCTGAAGAAAAACATTGTGTGGAAAAATATCTCTGAGATATGTAAAGTTTACCAACAAGCATGGAGCTGCATGTGGAACTAACTGTACTATATTCCCTTTTAGAAATGAGAGGCAGTCTGTGTGCCCAGCTGCGGGATGTATTTTTCATGAACTATTCTTTTACTTTATATTATTATCAATGCTATTGTTCATGTTGTCTTTTATAATTGTGGTTTTAATATTTATTAATAGATGCATTGATGCTATAATTCAAATAGATTCATTGGATATTTATGTTAAATTTTTATTACCAATTTGTTAAATTTTGCTTTTTAAGGTTATAATGTTATTGATAACAGTCCCCACTAATCAATTTTGTTTCAATGTCACAGTTTGAAAAATTACATTGCATAATATGCATATTTTTAACAAAGTATTGTTTCAGCTGTAGAATAGTAATAATAATGCTTGCATCATTGTATTTAAATAACTTGCAACAAAAATGAAGTAGAATCTGTGAAAAATATCATTAAACATTACTCATTTGATAACAGTCTTTTCAAGTCTGACACTTACCAATTTTCTCTCTCTTGTCTCTTTTAGGATATCAAAGACAATATGTAGTGAATTTATTTGAATTTAAGGCTATACGAATCAAACTACATTCATGGTCACACTTTATTATAATTTAATATTTCAAACAACATATTGTATTAAAAGATATAGCATAAATATGAACTATAAATTGGAATGAAAACTCTTTACTTTTTGATGTTCTTATGTTATGTATGTAATAATGTTATAAAAATTGTCTTTGTCAAATAGCAACATAGTATTTTATTCTAATACCATAGTCTAAACATTTTATTTTACTATTAAAATCCCTCATTAAAACTAATAGACATTCAACCATAAATAATTAAAACTATAAAATTTTTTTCTGTGTCCAGGAGGTTTTAGCTAAATATGAAAATAAATTAAGCACACTTCATAGAGCAAGACTTGGTGACACAGCAACCCCTTTGTCGCCTTGTTTGAGAGCTAAAAAGAACACAGATGAAACTGGTGCATCTTCAGGTAACTTATTATCCTAATAAAGCTAAAAATTAAATTGCACTGTATGGTTTTAAAAGCTTAAATTAAAATTATTTTCCATTAGCAGCATCCAGTTCCAGTTCAGGAGTGACACTTGCAGAAGGTTCAAGCTCTGAGCAAGTATGTGATGCTGCATCTTCTAGCAAAAATGGCTTATCTGCATCAGATAATAAAGAAAAAGAAGTAAAAACTGAAGAGGATACTGGAGGAGTGTCTTCTACAAATTCAAATGAAGAAGACAAAGACTTAAATGGCGAGGTGAATAAAAAATTTTCATACCTATATGATACTAGTGATCCGCCCCGGCTTCACATGGGTGATTTCTGGATCTCGACAACAGCGCCAACTAACAGGCCCAATTATGAATCGTTTAGACAATCCAGGGACCTACTCAAACACACAAAAAATTTCATCAAAATCGATTCAGCCATTTTCTAGTTTTAGCCCTTTAACCATCCACCCCGCGTGAGTGTTTCTCGCCTGACCTGTCCACATATTAAATGATTTAATGCACAGACAGGACATTTAATTTAAATGTCACTAATTTTTTACGACCGCACGAGACTGTCTTAACAAAAACGATTGCTACTGAAAAACTACTATAGAGCTACATTCAAATAAAAAATATTCTCGAAAGAAGAAGAAAGAAAGAAATTTAATTTTGTTAAAAGAAAATTAGTCAAATTAAAAATAAAGGCTGAAAATAAAACTTAAAAATGAGAATATCAAAAAATCGTATTTATTTTTAATTTCGAGTTTTACAAGAAAAGTGTAATACTAACTTGAGACAATTATTTTATATCATAATAGTACATGATATTCAGAGACACCAATACACCAAGACATTATTAGACACCAATATCAGTAACATCTTATATACTCAATATACAGAAGTATATAATGTTTACCCAATATAAATTTGAATAAGTAAATAAATAAATAAAAATAAGTTTTAATCATTTCTAGACACATCTCAACACGTATTTCGTTTATAAATTGCTACGAGGGCGGCACTGAAAATTTCGGGAATCAAGGAAGTGACACAACATTACTATTTAAAAATGTATTTATTGCTTTTCGAAGTATTCTCTGCGAAATTTGACACATTTTGTCATACGATGGAACCAATCATTGAAGCAACCATTCCATTCGGAAGTTGGGGTCTCCAAAATGGCCGTTTTGTAGACGTCCACAGCTTCTTCAGGTGATTAAAATCTCTGTCCACGCAATTTATTCTTTATTTTAGGGAAAGTATAGAAATCATTAGGGCTTAGATCGGGGCTGTACGGCGGATGGTCTAATAATTCTATGTTTTCTTGCTCTAAAAACTCTTTTGTTCTGTGTGCGGTGTGAGAACTCGCATTGTCGTGATGTTGCAGTTCTCTTTACGGAGTTCAAAAACGACCTGTGGCAAACAAATGCTAGCATACCATTCTGCATTAACCGTTCTTTGTCCCTCAAGAGGAATAGTCGTAACATGGCCGGTTTTGGAGACAAACGTGGCCACCATTTTTTTTGCAACACTGAACGAACAATTTTTGTTGGCTTTAACTCATTTTCGAACACCCAAACTCGTGACTGCTTTTTTGTTTCGGGTTCGTATGCATATATCCAGGATTCGTCACCTGATACGATGTTGTATACAGCATTTGAGGATCCTGCGTGGTATCTTTCGAGAGTTCTGACGCACAAAGTAACGCGAGCCGCTTTTTGCTCTTCACAGAGCGAATGCGGTATCCATCGGGAAAACAACTTTTTACACCTAATTGTTCATGCAAGATTATTTGTATTTAACTCATGCCAATGTCTAAAGTTGCCTGAATTTCGCGGTATGTCACATGTCGATCGTCCTCAATCAGCTTACGCACAGCATCAACGTTTTCTTGGGTGACTGCAGTTTTTGGACGACCTTGACGGGGATCATCACTGAGCTTGACACTTCGACGTTGAAATTCAGCAAACCAGCGATAAATTGTGGTTTTGGATGGGGCTTCATCACCAAATGCAGAAATCATCCGGTCAACACACTGTTTTTGTGTTAAACCACTTCGAAAGTCATAATAAATCATCGCTCTTGAATTTTCTCGAGTCAATTCCATTTTCTCAACGACTAAACAAGTTTGACAAAACCTTGTGACAAGACCGAAAATCTTTTTTTAAATAAATAAATGGTATTTTTTAAAATCAAGGAGTTTTCAATTAAAAAGATTTAAATATGACAGGAACAGTGGAAATATTCCATTCCCGATACTTTTAGTGCAGCCTATGTATCAACATGTTAATAGTGAATCATTCTTTTATATTTAGCATTCATTTAACACAAAAAACTGATTAGAATACATTTTAAACAACATATAATCAATAAACGATGATCGCATATAGTGATTAAAATTTCGAGCAAAATTATTATATGTAAACGTTTTGGAATTGTCGTAATGTTACATATTTACTAAAGAAAATATCTTCGCAATTAGTTTGATGTATAATAACATTAGAAGTAACATATAAAAGCAGAAAAGTTATCACATTTTTGATTGAATTTCTCACACTTTAACATTCCACAAACAAAAAAAAAATTTTTTTCTCAATATTTTGTTACTATTACTTATACAGATAAAATTCACTTTCACAGATGACAAATTTCATATAGCACCATCTATAATTTTTTACTGTATTAATAACAGCTATCTATTGTGCTGTACACATTTAAACCGAAAGATGTCGTTTGGTGACTATAGTCACCATGGACAGGTGAGGCAATTATTGTTTTTGGGGACTGTAGTCACCGTGGACGGTTGAGTAGTTAGTGAGACTAAAGGAGCTATAGATTAAAAGTTTAATTTTATTTTTAACGCTTGACGTGAATTTTATAAAATCTGTTCTTGGTCATTTTTAACATGCCAAAAAGAATATTTTGGCCAAGTTTTATACCTATAAGAGCTATAGTTTGAAAATGTGATTTTTTTAAATTAACGCCCCCACAACCTCCTTATGGGTGAAATTTCGTAAAACCCGTTCTTAACTCACCCCTACTTAGGGAAAGGAATATTCCTTTGGTTCCAGAGGAACCAAAGAAATATTCCTTTCGCTAAGTAGAGTGTAAATCCTTTCGCTAAGTAGAGGTGTAAATCTCATATATATATATATATATATATATATATATATATATATATATTCGTCCGCGTGTAATTTAGGGTTTTTTTTTTTTTGCGCAGAACCCTAATAATTTTTCTAAAATAAAAGTCGCCTAAGTTACTCCTTATTACATCAACTATCTGCCAGTGAAAGTCCCGTCAAAATTGATCCAACCATTTCGGAGAATAGCCGGAACAAACGGAAAAACAGACGGACAGACAGACAAAAATTTAAGTTTATATATAATAAAAATTTAAAAAAATTGTGTTTTTGTTATAAATATCGAATATAATTTCATATGCGTTCAATAAAAAGCTGTTATTTTGACATGACAAATAGACACTTCAATTTTATTTATTTATATAGATTTTTAAATTATTAACCCCCAGAGAAACAGTCTACCCTTTTGTGAGAATTTTTTATTATATACAATAAACACACTGTAAAAATGGGAGATTAAATCAAACACTTTTTTTTGAGAATTTTTGAAAATACAACTTTGGGAAATACTACCCCTTCAAAAGTGTCTACCATTTTTTTTTCTTAATTCTTTATCAACTAAGCTGACAGATAGTCATTATTATTTGAATCAAACACTTCTTTTTGGGCAGTACCAGGTGTACCCAGATAGGCCAGGCAAACAGTCATATACCTGCTTATTGAGTGGACTGATACTTTTCAACAAAGTTTCATGGTGCATTAAACACTTCATGAAAAATGCGTCATGAGCTCTCGGACCAACACATACATATAATAATAATAATTTTTATTGCTCAAAACAATACAATTTAAACTAAATGGTGACAGGAGTTCCCTTTTAAGCTATAGAGTCTTTGACAGGGGGCACCGCTCTTTCTTAAGTTTATAGTTATCCTGAAGCTGATAGTTTTAAAGCAGTACTACAATAAAATTAAAATTAAAACTACCCAGTTCATATATTAAAAAAAAAAAAGAAAAAAGATATGTGTGTGTGTGTGTGTGTGTGTGTGTGTGTGTGTGTGTGTGTGTGTGTGTGTGTGTGTGCGTGCGTGTGTGCGTGCGTGCGTGCGTGCGTGCGTGCGCGTGCGTGTGTGTATACACACACTACACACACCGACATTAGATCATAGGTAATTTTGCTCTGCTTATCTCAATATATAATATTAGGAAGAGCGGTGCCTCCTGACACAGGTATTCTTTTATACTTACTAGGAGTCTCCAATTACTGTATTATTTAGTATGCTTTGAGAAAGAAATAAATATATTTTCATTTAACAGTGTATATTTATGTTTTAGGTTTCAACCAGTGAGCCAGATAAAACAGTTAAAGAAAATGTCAAAATGGATGTTGACAAATCAAACTTAACAGCACCAGACAGTTCAGGGGATAATTGTCGCCTACCAGAACAAAGTGGAGATGTCAAAAGTACTACAAATGCTGGTAATGGTGTTGCCACTGAAACTTGTAATGGAGAGGTGACAGATTCTAAGCAAATTGATGGAGAGGACAGTAAAATAACTTCATCAAATGGTTCAGTGACTCCTGTGCAGTCTGGAAAAGCAAAAGGTATTGCAAATAAAAACAATTCACTCTTAATTTTATGTATTAATGATGTAAGGTTGTTAAGTCTATGTATGCAATAATAACCAAATGGCAATGGCTTCGTAGTAGATAATATCAGTGACATACTCATGAAAACTGTCCGTGGGATCTAAATATTACAAGATGGGTTTTAGAGGTATCAGTACAATCCAAACTCACCTGTGTCACTCAATTGTATAGCTGCTAGGCAGGACAGATCTCTATATTGCTTCCGATATTATAAAGCAATTAAATGGAATAAAGGCTCAAAAGTCTTTGCTGGAGTTAACTGATAAAATTAACGAATAACTATGGAGTTTTTAATTGACTGAGATTGGACACCTGCAAACATTGTCATACCACCTCCAGATTGTCTGTCAGTTCATCAAGGTGCTTGCACCTGTAGTAAAGTATAAAGACTATTTAACTAGAAATTTTAAGAGATGATGTTACATCTCTAAATCTTCACTGTTGCATTGGAAAATATGCTTATGATATAGCTATTATGATCTCAGTAGTACCTCAATATAGCTCTAAGAACTATTATTGATGCTGAAGATTAACCTTGTAACATTAAGGGTTAGGATGACCCTCCACTAGACAGAGTGATGACTTGGTAAGACATCCAGAAAGTTGATGGATGGAGGTGGCCCGAGACTGTGTTTTGTGGCATTTCTTAGGGGAGGCCTATGTTTAGCAGTGGACTTGTATGATGTATGATTAATATCTAATTATGATCAAAGCTGTTTTGGTAAAATTGCTGGAGGAACTTATCATTATGCTCATGAACTTAATAGGGAATGACATAATAAAAATTATTTAAGATTATCTCATAAAAGTCCATGTTTCAACTATACTATTAGTGGTTGGGAACACTACACTTGAAATTACACACAAAAAGTACAAGCAATTGATGCAGACAAATCAATAATCTGGTATGGCAATGGGGTGGTTATGTAGCTTGGATGATCAACAATTGTGTGGGGGAAGGTTGTCGGGTGGTAGCATCATATTGGCAAGCATAGTCTTGGCCAATTAACACTAGCTGAAAAATGATCTGATAAAACTTCTCGTAAAATAATGGATGCAGTTGGCTCTAGATAAATGATGGTGACTTATAAACTCTGTAACATAATGTTCATACAATAATATGTTATCTTTTATTTATATATTTTTCTTGTAATTATTAACTTCAAAAGTTTTCACCAGTATCAAGTTCAGAAAAATTAACTCCAGAAAGGCCGAAAAAGTCCAAAATTCGTAGAGCGGCTGCAGCCGTGTATGAATCACTTTTGCGTCAAGCAGCAGAGGAGGATGATGATGAAAGCGACTCCAATGACGAAACTTTCGAAGGTGGCGAAGTTGAGTCTTCTGATGAAGAAAATGTTAATGGGATTGAAGATTCTTCTAATGAGGGTAATAATAAAACACTGTAACGTTATGAGTGTGACTACAATGTAAACTTGTAAACAATTAAACCAAATAACTTTTTTTTAAATCTTACATTGTGACAACATTTTGTTTTGCGTTCCTTGAAATGAATATATTAATAATCTACAATAAGATCATAATTATGGTGCTGTACTCTTTTTCCTCCTCATAGCCTATAGAAGTCTACTACTGGAATCGCCTTAATTGTCATGCTTTACAGGCATATTGATAATGGCAGAACCAAAATGATACCTTTGACGCTGGACCCCATTATTTTACGTCTGGCGTAAACTAGATGGTTATACCTAGGGTTCCCGGGACGTCTCGTGTCTCGAAGTCTCGGGACGTTCGGGTCGAAACTCGAAACGAGACAAGATTGTCGAAATTGTTATGTAATCATTTTTATTTTCAAACTAGCTGAGCGTCGCGACTTCGCCCGCGTGTAATTGAGGGTTTTAATTATATTGCTCAGAACCCTAATTCTTTTTCTCAAATATAAGTAACTTAAGCTACTCCTTAAAACATCGGCTATCTGCCGATGTGCTAGGAAGGTCCGGTCGAAATCGGTCCAGTCGTCGCCAATCCAGCCGTTTCCATGATTAGCCGGAACAAACAGAGAGACCGACAGACAGACAAAACTTTAAAAAACTGTGTTTTTGTTATAAGTACCTTATATACATTCATATGCATTTAGTAAAAAGCTGTTATTTTAACATTACAAACAGACACTTCATTTTTATTTATTTGTATAGATAATTGAAGGAGCCTAGCGCCATGTGTTAGATTAATGAATAATTACTTGGTCTACTACGTAACTACTGAGTATGCAACACAATATTTTTTTTTTCTTAAAATTATTTAATAATTATTTAAATGAAACAAATATGAGATTAGAAGAATTAACAATGAGATTATGAACTATGATTAGATACTAGAATTACTAGATAATAGTAAAGTTATTAAGAATTAGTATGATTTTTAAGTAAGTTCGTTTTATAACTATAAGATTTAACTGTTTAGAAGTGCATCAGTGTGTGACTAAAAGAAACAAACAAAGCAATTATTAAGACTGAATTTAATGTTAAAGTTATTTCATTTTCTGTTTAATTGATTAATAAATGTTGATTTTACAAAAAATTGCATCTTTTTAATACGTTTTACCAGAAATTAACTCAATTAAAATTCTTCAAAAAGGCTTATGCATCTTAAAAAAAAAGTTTTTTCTTAAAAGTCTCGAAGTCCCAGGAATTCCCGGGACTTTGATTATAGGCTGTCCCTTCTCCCGGGACTTTGAAATAGTCGGGAATTCCCAAACCATAGTTATACCGCAGTCTATCGGAAGCCATAAGTTTTTTCGCCTTTTATGAAACCCATGGGTCGATATGTGGTGATTCCTTCTTCCACGCCACTACCACACGGCTTATGACGATTCACTCACTATAATATTAGATTAAATGTCGTTATAATATTGTTATATATATTATTAAATTATAGTTTACATTGAAGCAACATTTGAATGTATTAAAAAATCAACAATTATATACTTAGTACATTATATTTGGTATGTAGTATGAAAAATTATATTTATCCTATTATTAATCCAAAATAGAAGAGGAAGGAGAAGATGAGGATGAAGAAGACTATGAAGGAGAATCGAGTGATGAGGAAGGTGAAGAAGACATAAGTATGACTGAGGAACCTGGAAATGACAGTGGTTGCACAGCAATTGTTGCACTACTAAAAGGTAATTCTTTATTTCTATGTTTCCTATCGATGTATGATATCTGAACGATATTATATTGTATCTTTATTTTACATATGGGGTGATTAAGTGCTATTCATAAAAAAAGAAGCAAATGTGGCATTGCTGGGCTCAGGTCTCCTCTCATTTCAGGGAGAATTTTAGGGCAAGGAAATTTCTGCCGCAATGCCCCAATGCGCTTTGGTGGACTTTGAATTATTTTTTTCTTATTTCTCAAACATGCTGGTTTCCTGACAATGTTTTCTTTCACCACCAAACACATAGTAAATCAGCTCTTTAAATTACAATTTCATTGGTGCTGGCGCGGATCAATATATTGCTCACGTACTGTGTAATTTACGGTATGTGCTTGATGCCTGAGTTACCACGGCTTTAGAACAAAATATAAAGGACTTAATAATAACTTCAAACGCTCATTCTTTATGAAACAGTTTATCAAACGTGGTTTATTAGTGTTACGAAAACTAGTTTATTATATAAAGTCCCGGGTTTGAAGAAGAGGCTTTGTCACTAAAGAAGTCACTTAACCGAGGAGCCAGTCTTCGCAAAGTTTGACATTTGCTGTCAAAATTCATACTTAATATTTTAATTCATTTGCCTTAAATCTGATACTAATCATAAACTACTTTTTGTAATAAGTATGAATAAGGTTTGTTATGCAAAAGCGAGACAATAATAATAATAATGTAACTTAAATATTTAGAATTGAGTCAATAACTTTATTTCTTAATTCACAGGAAATGAACTATATGTGGCTAATGCAGGAGATTCTCGCTGCATTATTTGTAGAGAAGGTAAAGCAATAGATATGTCAATAGATCATAAACCAGAGGATGCGCCAGAACATGAGAGAATTACAAAAGCTGGTGGGAAAGTTTCATACGATGGCCGAATTAATGGAGGTCTGAACTTATCTCGCGCTATTGGAGATCATTCATACAAACAGCACAAAGAATTGGATGCTAAAGAACAAATGGTCACAGCTCTGCCTGATGTCAAAACTCTGACCATAGATCCAACTAAGGACCAGTTCATGGTGTTGGCATGTGATGGAATATGGAATTTTATGTCAAGTCAAGATGTCTGCGACTTTATATTACCAAGACTAGCAGAAGGACGCGAAAGGTTATCACAGATTTGTGAAGAGGTAATCTACATAAATAAATAATATATAATCGTTTTTCAATTAATACCTATATTAAATATAAAATTTTAATTCTGCAGATGTTTGATCATTGCCTAGCACCAACAACAATGGGCGACGGAACTGGCTGCGACAATATGACCGCTATTATAGTGCGGTTTAAGAATGGTGTGATTTCAGACGTCGGACAGCATTCTAGTAATATCGAGGTGTCGAAAAAGCGCACTGCGGAAGAAGAACCTTGTGTGGACAATCAACAGGACACAAAAAGGCAAAAGCTTGATGATTCACTTTCAAGTTCAGTGGTGACTTCAAGTGTTTAGACTTCATTGATAAGGGAAGAACAGTGTTTCCCCACACATAGGTATTGTGTATTATTTGGTGGTAACTTTTTATTATGGATAACAAAGGCGCAGTCGTCTTCTTTAAAGTTCACCAAAAATAGTTCAGTTTAGTTATTTTGACAAGGGAATAAAAGACTTCCTCTCGGCTATTTTGTAAATGAGCATCTCTCCTTATTCTTAATTCAACTTGATTGTATATCTAATGGTTACACCATTACACAATTATGTTGTAAATTGAAATAACCATGGCATATGTATGTGCACATTGAAGTGCTTCTGGCACAAAATAATTTACATACAAGTTTTAACTTTCATGATTTGTCTAAAATCACATAGTATTCACGAATAGATTCGAAACTTGTAACAGTTATTTACATTACAGTAAAATATAGGCAAATCATTTAATAGTTTCCTAATTACAGTATCTGTTTTAGTTTTTTTTTTTTAATTTGCGAGAGTAGAAATCAAAGTAAATTATGTATGAAATATAAAATAACTCTTTACCACGCATAGTGCAGTAAAATTTAAAGGGACAGATTAATTACCATCCATTAAATGTTCTCATTTAGATCATCTACTCAATATGGAAATGCACTGTCTTCTTTTCCCATTTAGAAGGTGACAAAAATAACCTGTGACTACTTAATAATTTACCTAAAGTAGCCTTATTTATAATAAGAAACAACAAAGTTTTTAAATTAAGTAAGCATGTAAAATTTACACTAGAAGTGTGAGGAAAGATAAATTTCCTGCATTGATAAATTTTTGAACTGACTTGTTGATGGTAGCGATTAGTTAGTAAGATGTAAATGTAAACTATAGAATCAATATAAAATCCCGCTTAAATTTTAGCTTGTAGGGACTGTGACATTTAAAATTTGGTTTATTCAGGGATCTTTTTATTTATATCGAGGAACAGCTTCAAATTCCATAACAAGGTAAATTATATACAAATAGCTTTATAAGATATAGTGACTTATTATGACAGTTAATTTAATTGTGAAGTACATTACTCAAGTAAAATGTATAAACAAAAGTGAAATTTCTACTAATTATACAATCCTTTACTCATCTGTTTTTATAACTATGTTATTTCAGACACAAATATTACCCTTCACTCGTTAATTATATGTGTATGTATTGAACATAAAAACAAGTTTTTATTTCTTGCTATATGCTGAAAATATAAAAATTGAGTATGGTCTTTATTATTTTATCGGCATGTTCCTATAACATATATATATTTGAATTCAATTATTTATCCTCTATTGTGTAATGTAAGTATGTAGTTATATTTTTGTAATTGCAGATATTAGTTTTTCAAAATTAATGATCAGAGTACCGTCTGAATACTATTATGAATAAATACTACTATTTTAATACTAAATTTAAGTTAATCAAATACAAATAGCCCGGTTATTATCAATTTTCAAAAAACAGTCCAATTAAAGGAACTGATTTTATTTCATGTGTGTTTCTGTGAAGATTACATTTTTACAGACTAATAAACTTCGTTTTCTTTTTAAATTTGTTTTTCGTATTACAACCTATGAGGATAATATTATGTACTTTAACATACCCAACAGTGACACGAACATTTATATTAGGGTAATGGCGTCGCTTTCATCAAATCTAGTACTGCCATGTAATAAATTAATTTTACTGCTTGTAGCAAATCAACCCAAAAAAGGGTACAAAAAGATGGAAAAGAGGTCAAATTACATTCAGACAATATGTTGTGTAATTTTATTCAATGTATTTATAACTTACATTTGAGTCTGTTTCACAATAGAAAGCCTTGTGGAAAATATTCAAACTAAAATGTAAGGTAGCATAGAGTTCATTGAATTTTGCCAAAATTGGCACTGCGGCTAACAGCATTAAGCATTTATTTAGTACTTAAAAATACTGTAGATCCAAGTGCTCTAAAAACAGCTGATAGCTGTACAGCTTTGTTGTAGTTTGCTGCACTAAAACTAAAGGCTTTACAAAAGCATTTAGATATGTCATTATCCAACGATTATACAGTGTAAAGCATCATATTGGTGTAACTACATATGCAGCTATAGTACCTATGTAACTGAATTGTGTGAGTGAGTAGCAATATGGCCGGCTCTGTTGTAACGCGTACTAAACTGTTATTTCTTGCAAGGACTATCTCATTTCCATCATACTACACGGACATTAGTTAAAGTGGTGACCCCGACGCTCTCAGATGCTGCTAAATACCATTTAGTTGTAGCCAAGCTGGGGAAGCATGTCGTACAGCAAGTCACGGATGTCCTGGTGAATCCTCCAGCTGAAGGAAAGTACGACCTGCTGAAGTCAACTTTACTAACCATTTTTGAGGAGTCCGAAACGCGTCAAACTACCAAACTCATTGGCGAGATGGACCTCTGAGACCAGCGCCCATCTCAACTGCTGCGTAGAATGAAGGACCAGGCCAGGGATCGATTCAAGGACGATACTTTGAGCGTTTTATGGCAGAACACCTACCGGCTGCAGTTCGTGCTATACTGGTGGTCACCGGTACCAAAGACCTCAATACGCAAGCTTCTGTAGCAGACCAGGTTATGCAGACGATGAGACCTATCGGCGTGCAGAGGTAGAATCGACTTCTTCAGGCAACGCTGCCCTCGTTGCTGAAATCGCTGAGATGAATAAGCGACTAGATAAAATGGCCATGGTCAGATCGCGATTCCAATCACGTGGACGTGAGAGGACCCGAGCCCGCTCACAGTCTCAAGGTCGCCGCAGCCGTACTCCTGGGCGCGCTGCTTCTCGTGACAATTTGTTGTGTTTCTACCGCTATCGCTTCAAGGCTAGGGCGCAGAAATGTGTCCAGCCGTGCGTTTGGAAACCGGAGGAAACGGGAAACTAGATGCTGTGCAGCGGAAGGAGGTGAACAGCTTCATAGGAATCTCCAATCATCGCCTCAGCATACGAGATAAGTCCAGCAACCTTATTTTAATTGACACTGGTGCCAATATCTCAGTTTTCGGTCGTAAATAAATAGTGACGACCACGAGTCTAAAACCATCTTCGCATTATTGCCTTTCTAATGAAACCGGGGCACATCGGTTGGATGGTTTCAGTCTATAACGGACAGGTAGAAACATTTTTTTGTGTGTTTACCCCTATATAGTTAGATTAGCAGGTAAGTAAAGAAGAGTTTCTTACTTTTCACAAGTGTCTGCGCACTTATCACTCGTCTCACCCGACCGATTTCAATCGCAATATAACCAGAGGTTGAGATGCGAACCTACACCCCACGGGTTGGTCTCCAACGGTGTAGCTAGGGGTCTCAACCTTTTAAATAATGGTACTAAAAGATCTCAAAAAATCTATATCGGAATACTTTTGGTTAAAATATTACGAATATAGTAGCATTATGTGTTTATGAGCACAAACTAAATATGAAGTACTACCGTGATTATGAGCTTTGAAAAGTAGAGATAATCTTCACACACTTGCTAATAAGTGCATCGAGTTTTTCTGCCACCAGGGCGGCGCCACTTAAAAGTGAGGTATAATATTTGACAGATTTCATAGCGGGGAAGTAATTTGTTCGGAAAATGTAAAGGTTAATGTTTCTTTTTTTTCCATTAGCTATGTATTATAATAATAAGTTTAAAAATAAATAAAGTAAACCACAGATACCTAGTCAAGTCATAAGTATTGTCACACAGTAAAAACTTTTCTTTTAGAATGTTGGCCACAAAAAAGTTTATTGAATTCGAATTTCGAATTGTTCATGAAAATAAAACTGTATACTTTTTAGAATTTTACTCATTTTTAAATATGGAGTGGACGTTTAAAGAAGATCGTGTTGCAGTTATTGCGTTGCATCGTTGCGGTTACGCGCCAATTCAAATTTTTGACATACTGAAAAATTTGAATATAACCAAAAGATTCGTTTATCGTACCATCAAACGATACAATGAAGACTCTAGTGTAGATGACAGGTCAAGAAGTGGTCGCCCTCGGTCTGTTAGGACTCCAGCAGTGATAAAAGCTGTGAAGGCGCGAATTCAAAGAAATCCCAAACGTAAGAAGAAACTGTTGGCCCTTCAGATGGGGTTAAGCAGAACCACGGTGAAAAGGGTGTTAAATGAAGACTTAGGGCTTCGGGCATATCAAAGAAAAACAGGACATCGTTTGAATGCTCGTCTAATGGACCTGAGACTGAAGAGATGCCGCGCTTTGTTGAAGCGGTACGCGGGAAAAAAATATCGGGAAATTCTTTTTTCGGATGAAAAAATTTTTACCGTAGAAGAGAGCTACAACAAACAAAATGATAAGGTGTACGCACACAGTAGTGAAGAAGCGAGCAACCGTATTCCGCGTGTGCAACGAGGTCATTTTCCATCCTCGCTCATGGTATGGTTGGGAGTTTCTTATTGGGGCTTAACACAGGTACATTTTTGTGAGAAAGGTGTAAAAACGAATGCAGTTCTGTATCAAAATACAGTCCTGACGAACCTTGTGGAACCTGTTTCTCATACCGTGTTCAATAACAGGCACTGGGTATTCCAACAAGATTCGGCGCCAGCTCATAGAGCGAAGATCACACAAGACTGACTGGCGGCGCGTGAAATCGACTTCATCCGGCACGAAGACTGGCCCTCCTCCAGTCCAGATTTGAATCCGTTAGATTACAAGATATGGCAACACTTGGAGGAAAAGGCGTGCTGAAAGCCTCATCCCAATTTAGAGTCACTCAAGACATCCTTGATTAATGCAGCCGCCGATATTGACATGGACCTCGTTCGTGCTGCGATAGACGACTGGCCGCGCAGATTGAAGGCCTTTTTTGAATGTCATTTTTTTTGAAGGTTCAAAGGTTTGAAGGTCATTTTGAATAAACTTTAATGTCATAAGAATCTATGTTTTGTTAAGTTCATTTTGGTATATAAATGGTTACATAATGAATAAACTTGTTTCAATTATTTTATATTAAACATGTGACAGAATTTATGACCTGACTAGGTATTTATAAAAGTAGAAAAATTAAAAGTAAAAAATGTGCAAAAATTAAAGAGCAAACCACAGGCATTATTTTGTGTATTAATATAATACTCTAGAAACTGATAAACTTTTATTAAAAACGAATTTCTCAATTAAATGACATTGCGTAACAAAAAAACTTTACTCAGTGTCAACTAGCGACATCTGGTGAGCAGAAAATTAAAAAATTAGCCATCATTATGTATAAAAATACATTGTATCTATTCTTTCTCTTTAAATACTTTAAGAGACTTCAATAATATTGTTCGCGCAAAACACTGTTGTCGGAGTCGACACCAGATGTCACTCGGCTCGGCGCGATTCCGGTTTAAAGTTCGGCTGGGCGTGGCACGAGCGCGCGAGTCGCGAGAAAAAAGTCTGTCGTCTTTAATCGGTGCTGACGTGAGCACGCGGTCCATTCTGTTAGGGAACTCGGAATAATTAGGCGCGGCCAGTAAATATACGGTCTATCATTGTGACGCGCATTCCTACTGGAGAGCTTCCCGGGACTTATTGTGTCTGACTCAAAACCTGCATAAGTGCATTCGGCAATATTAGATAGTGCGGCCTCTGATATTTTAGAATTAACTATTGCTTCGCGAAACGGCAGTGACCTTTGACCCTTTAAACTCCGTGTGCGTTTGTGCGGTAACCATTATACCCAGCGATAGTTAGTGGCTTCTGTAAGTTAGTAAATCGTACGATAGAGTTAAGTGACTGTTATCGTGACGAAAAAAGAAAGTGACTGTGGACAACCTCGAAAGGCGCCCTCAAGTTGGAGCGGTGTTGAAGCTCGGGCTGCTGCCGACGGCCAAGGTCTAGGTTCAATAACCATCAGTCACACCCAGATACACACCACATCACCATTCTTTCTTTGCACTACACAACCACATGCGACCTGACCGACTCCGGAGGGACCAGTCGCCTTGGATAGGTAAGTAAGCTTCATCCAAATTCCTTCCAGTCGACTGGCCGTAGTATAACGCTCCCCCATATATTTTAATGTAATTAGGAATTTCCACGTGGCCACATTGGGGCCCGACCTACGTCTGTTCGGGAAATCTTCAGCTCATGGGCCCCTGAAGATTGGATCCTTTAAGGGAGCAGCCGTAGGCCGTAACAAATATGGTGAAGATGTCGAGACATTTTTGGCTCTGTTGGCGCTTGACGTCAGCAACCCATGGTACGTCACTGGTCGTATCCAAGTAGGTACTTTGACTCTAGGTTGCTCTTTCGTCACACAAACACTAAGTTTTTTATTAATTGATCCATAGTCCAAATTGTTTGCCCTATACCCTTAGGTCCGCCACATACATACGGAATCCCGTTTCGAGATTCCGTTTCGGAATTCCGAACGGTCGGCCACACAAACGGAATCCCGTTTTGCCCGCAAAATATCGAACGGAAAACTACCGTACGTGTGGGCGGGTCATAGATTTTATATGGACTTGCTGCATTCGGAATACCGAATCGGAATATCGAAACGGAATTCCGTATGTATGTGGCCGGCCTAAGAGTATACATAATCATAGCTTGCTTATGTATTCTCTAAGACTGCCTATCTATACCTTTAATAAGTACCTACATTCTTTTTAGGGTTCCGTGCTTCAAATTAAAAAACGGAATTTTTATGAGACCACTTTGTTGTCCGTCTGTCCGTCTGCTTCTCTGTCAAGATCATTATACCTCAGGAAGAGACGTCACGCATAAATTAAAATTAATCCTCGGTTTGAAAATCTTTGGAATATTTAGAGTCGATGACGGTAGGACCCGACGAAATGAATGGTTCCTTAAGAAAGAGGCAAAGCCTTAGCGAATGATTTATACTAGTTACTGGGGACCTGTCATCTCAGTTGTGCTTCGTTTAGCGCCGGGGCTGAGTGGGTAAATGGCGCAAATAAGAGGCTCTGAGAGATGATTGCATATGGCTAAAACTAGGTGCGGCCGGTTGCTTTCGGGTAAAACTAGGTATAGTTATGTCCAGCGATAGAATATATAAATTTTTTAATATAATTGTATATGTTGTAGTGATATTTATTTTATGTTCTGGCATTACCCGTACAAACATGAAGAAATCGAATACACCTAAGTTTACTTATGCGCATATGGCACCGAGCTGTATTCGCATACGGCAGCTTATCCAAGGCGTAACCGCATATGGCAGCTTATCTTTCTTCGGTTTTTAGGTGTATCTTATACATATTAATTACCTACACAAAACATGTAGTAACTAAATAATTTAAAGTTCATTATTGAACATATGTATTAAAACTAATCATCGAAGTTGGGTCAAATATTCTATTGTTTCCATTTGGCTTGCTTCTAATATTTGTAGGGAGTCATATTCGCTGTCTAGTTGTTCTAACAAGATTGACCTCTCACTTATTTCTGCCTGAAAATAAAAATGTAAAAATTAATTTCAATCTATATCTATAGGTATATAGAAAATTGAAGTGGCCATTTATGTAATATAGAAAAAATTTATGTCAGTCCGTCTGTTAAGGCTAATGTTCGGAATGGCTAAACCGACTGTAATGAAACTACACGACCAGATAGAGAGCATTGCCAGGAGTGTTCCAGGCTAATACCTATGTATCTTAAACTGAATAACGCCATATCAGATCAGAGACTCCATGCGAAGCAGGGGCGGGTCGCTATTATTAATTAAAAAAATGTAATGTAAAATTTTAATAAAGTTCAATAATTGTAAACACCTATATTTGTAAAAATAATAAGTATTTGAGTTTGTCGTGTGAGCAGCAATAGCAGAGGTGAATGAAGGAGTAAATGTTTAATACCTCACTAACGTCGTGCATGGCAGCTTTGAGGTTGACAAAAGGGTGCAGACACATCAAATCAAGTATTTTCTATTGTTATATTATTTTAAAGGTAATGACAATGTAGGAAATTATTGCTGGATTCGCGTTGATTACATAGAAGTCTTGACTTATCATAATTCTAATTTAATATTTTTCATGAATGAGAAGTCTCTGAACTTTCGGGCGGCAAGATCGTTGGCGGTGCTCCTTATCCACCACGCAGTGCGCCGCCGCCACTCCGACATTGTTTTTAAGAGTACCTATATTGATTTTTTTGTTCAAAACAACCGTAAATTTCCGTTGACCTTACCTTTCTATTTTTTGAACTTTTTAATTAATATGTCTACAGAAACATGTTTGTTCAAATTATTTCTTTTCTTTACGAAATAAATAAATAAATTTAAATACACTTTGTCGTTTTGAAAATTTATTAGGGCATTGATTATACATTAGATAGATAGATGATAAAGCATTTATTTGTTTCTCCAATCACACACATAAATTCAGTAACTAAACTAAGTAGGTACAAAGTAACGTATTACGAAAGAAAAAATTACAAAAACTTAAAATCTAAATGTACATGTGTGTTGCAGTTTGTCCTAGCTCAGCGATTAATATTGCTCAGAGAGCAAACACTGATTTTCAGCTATTACCCTCGAGATGACGAGACCAAAATGAGCACAATAGTATAATGAGTGTAAATATGTACCTATATATGTGTTTGCGCCAAACGCTAAAATTTTAAATTACTATAACTGAGACTCTTAAACGCGCTTCGTCGATTTACTTAGCTCGGCGGGCACGCGGCTAGCAGGCGCCTCCCCTCCCGCGCGAAGCGTGGGGGAGATCCTGTATTTGTCGTCAAGCGGCAGCCGGGCATTGCTTACTGTGAGTCGAATTCGAGCCGCGTGGCGCCGAATTTGTTAACGAATTTGTGCAGCGACGAATAATCGTGTAGTCTAGAACATTAGTTGGGTTGGCTAATTATTGAGAAGTTAGTGTTTAATTGTACCGTTGCGTTAAGCGCCTTAAAAAGGTCTTCGAAACAATTTGTTGCGGAGTGAGTGAAAGCGAACTTTGACCCACGAGTCGTGCCGCGTGTTACGCTTTATAATTAACGGGATTTTTAGTTGCGTCTTGAAGTTAGTTAAATGTACGATAAAGTTAAGAGACTGACATAGTGAATTGAAGAAGGAAATAGTCCATTGCTGTTGCCGCTGGAGAATACCAAGCCTGGAGGCGGTGCCGGAGTGAGGGTGGCTGCTGATTCTAACGGGCTAATCCGGGTTAAACACACATACACTTCTCATACACTACTCACATTCACGACAATTACGCCCGAACGAGCCCTGGGAGCCTTCTTCGCTTCTGAAGCAGGTAAGTCAAGTAAATTAAGTACCTAATCTATATGTATCGATTATCCATAGGCCATTGGGCCCCGTCCTTAGTTATCCGTCGAGTCTACAGCTGTATGGGCCCCTGTATAGTCGATCTTTGTCGGGACAGCTAAGGGCGTGTACAATATGAATAATATGACCTTTGAGCCCTACGACTTACATCTTGGGTTCAATTTAGTAAAATTACTGAAGGGGTGAGTAAGTGTGTAAGATTGCGTACAAATTAAAGCTAGCATAGTACTTATTACTCTATGAAAGTTAGTAGGTAAAAGGCTTAAGCTAGGGTCCCACGGCCTGCCAGGCGACAGGTCGCGCCAGGCATTGCCCCGCCTGAATGGGTCTGTCGCGGCCCGTACTGAGCATTCCCACGGCGTGTGGCGGCCTGGTGCGGCCTGTCGACTGACATTCCAACATGTTAAGTGATACGGAGCGCAAGTCTGCGTGTGCAGCCGCTGTGGTTTTATTCAGTGGTGAACGTTTGATAAACCAAGTAAAAAGAAAGCAGTAGAAACGACGCTGGTGGGTGTCGTCATTCAACAAAAGCCGTTCTTGTTTTTATGTTGAGGCGACGAACTATTTCAAAGCGCTGGTTCATTTTCATAAAGAGTTAAAAACTCGAATATGAGCTCGTTCGACCACTCCATAATCAGCGTAAACGCGCAGGCGCCACCGCAGTTGAAATGAACGATTGTAACCGACGCAGACGCGCCCGTACAGGCCGCGACAGGTACCGTCACACCGCGCCGCACCGCGCCTTTGAACTTACCGACTCCCGATGGATCGGACGGGCGACAACAGGCCACCGCAGGCCTCATCGGATGTGATGGTTCCCACGGCCTGTTGATCTGGCCTGGCGCGGTCTGACCTGTCACAAAGCAGGCCGTGGGACCCTAGCTTTAGTCAGCCATGATGAGTCAGTAGGAAGAAAAAAAACATTGCAGCCTTACTTGCAATTTGGCTTGTTCATTTTCTTTTTGCTTGGTTATAGATTTCAAAAGATTCATTGATCCTATTGCTGCCATTTTTTGCTTCTCCACATTATCTCCTAGTTCTTTTAGTGTGTCTAGCAGCGTACTTATAATTTTTCCGAATTCTTGAACCTCTGTAATTAACAACACTGTGTGACTCATTTTGTTTATTGTATTGTGGAAGCACTGAACCCGAAGTTTTTGATAGAAGTTGTTAGTAAAGACTATGCGTCAGGCATGTATGTCATTACCTGAGATTTCGTCTGAGGCGACAGAAGGAAACTTAACCAGGAGATGGTCAGCAGCGTTTTCCTGATAACAGCTGAATAAACATAAAATACTGCGGTTGCCAACCCACTTACTAACTGTGGCAACTATGGCAGCCTCTTATGAGGCAATATATGGGCGAGGCATATGTTCAGCAGTGGACTTTTGATAGCCCGTAATGGTATGGTTATTGTAATTCGTTAGACAAGATAAAGCTGTCCAAGATGCCACTAGGAAATTCCAAATATAGTGTTGAAATTACGTATAAATGATATTAGAGTTTAAGAAAACTTAAAAAATACGCATTGATCATATTAATAACTTCCCTGTCCGCGAATTAGATACAATAGTTAAACAATAGATATGTTCATATATGACTCATGAGACAGTGAAATGGTTAAACTGTGATGACTGAAGATCCTATTGAGAATTTTTTTTTATAGGATAAGGTAACAAACGAGCACACAGTCCACCTGATGGTAAGTGGTTGCTGTAGTCCATAAACATCTACATCTATGCTCGTTTGCGAATCAAAATGCAGATGCGTTGTCACCCGTGAGGACTAAGATGGAATGCCCCATTTCCAGTAAAAAGGGCCTCCGGCCACCTGCACTCACCAAGCGAAACGCAGAGGTAAACCTCTACTACCACGCTGGTTTTCTGTGAGGTCGTGGTACCACCCCGGTTCGAGCCGGCCCATCCGTGCGACAGCAAAAGCTGCCGCGTGGCTCTACCACTGTTAAAATGTATCTTCATTTATATAAAGTTTCAAGAAACAGCTATTTTGTAAGCAAAGTATATTTTTGTTTGCGATCTTTTTGATGTTTTTTCCTTCGCACATACGAAAACTTTGTTAATATATCAAGCAACGCGGACGAAGTTGCGGGTATCAGCTAGTACAAAATAAATGGGATCTATGAGGAAGTTCATGCTAACAGGCTCATCCTTGAAAGGGCCTATGTCCAGTTAAGGTCTTAAATTGATAATGATGATAAAAATTTCTCTTAATGTATTTACCTAAGGTAATAAATACAGAAACTTGCGCATTTCACATGCATTTTAACACAGACCTAGAATTTTATACTACACTAATCTTAATAATTCATGGCACTAAAAGTAAAAAATTATCACACACTGACAGAATTATTCCAAGCAAATGCGTTTTCTATTCAAGATGAGCTTCGAGGTGATAAAACACGTACTAACTTGTTTCATACACTTTGCACGTATCTTTTAGATCTTCAGTATCCTTGAGCACAGTATTTTCTAAAACTCTGATCTTATTAATGTCATCATAATATAAATGTGCTTTTTGTAATTCGTCAGCCATTAGCACAATTTGAAATATTAATAAATTATTGCTTTTGGAATCACTTGAACTACTCCCCTTATTTTATTCTAACATTTTTCTGACATCGAACATTTAGTACAAATTTTGTTTGTTTACTACTTACCGTTGCTTAGCAACGTTAACAAGATAAGCCCGACCGCTATGTATTGACCTCCATTTTTTATACTTCGATTAATAGAAAGCCAGTGCCGGCCGCGCATTATAAGAATTTTTTTATACACCGGTCGTGCCAATATTTCTCGGGAATACGTCGCCGAATACCGGAACAAACTTGTGCCTGAAGTCGAGACTTTGTTGAACAAAGTATCGGACTGGGGGCGACTAAATCTAGTACAGTTCAATCCCCAGAAGACACAAATTCTATGTAGGAGACCTTTGTTCAACAATGGATGTTAATATCCTTCTTTCTATACCTCGACCATAATAGGCTATCTACTGAGGGAAACAAGTTAGGTGATAGACAACAAGATAGGCAGCGTCTTCCTAATATCAACTAGAAAATTAAAAAACTGCGTTAGCAAGGCGCTGCCCAAAGGTGGTAACTATGGCAAATATCCATTGTTATAGTTTACAGCAATATCCCCCTTATTAGCCAGTCTTAGGGGCCTTTGTTCAGCAGTAGACTTAAAAAGGCTGTAATAGCTGGATGTCATGGATAATTACGGAAGATATAGCAAAATATCAATGCCTATGGAATAATATTAAAATCCAAATAAGAGAAAGGATAAGGTGTCACCGACAAGCTTGGCTAGTGGCTACATATTAAAGCAAGTTTCCATTAAAACATACTATAAGCCGCCGAAGAAGATTAGTCAGTTTTTACACTCCTGCATCTTGCAGGAGTGTAAAAACTCTACAAGCTTGACTGTGAATGTGGTTTCTCTTAAATAGGATAAACTAAAAGATGAATAAAAACTCGAGTAATAGAACACATAGCCATAGCTGTTGTGAAAAATCGACGCTCCGGGAAATCTGAAATCTGAGAACACGTACAGGATCGCCCCCGCCACTAAATCAGATTTGATAGACCACAAATCCTCTCTAAAGAACACCACTTCCTTCCTAGGATGATTTGTGAGGCTATTGAAACGAAAAAACATCCTAATTTCAATTTCAATAGATAAGATGGCTGGTAGCTACCACCTGCTTCATCATCACCATTACAGCCCTTCACAAGTCCACAGCTGAACATAAGTCTCCCCCAAGGAATGCCACAAAGCATGGTCCTGAGCCACCTGCATCCATCGACTTCCTGCATGTCTTACCAGGTCGTCACTCCATCTAGTGCGGGGACGCCCTACACTTCGTCCGCCGGTACGAGGCCGCCACTCGAGAACCTTTCTTCCCCATCGGTTGTCGGTTCTTCGAGCTATATGGCCGGCCCATTGCCACTTCAGCTTACTAATCCGTTGGGCTATGTCGGTCACTCTGGTTCTACTGCGGATATCCTCATTTATAAGTTTACCACGCAGAGAAACTCCGAGCATAGCCCTCTCCATAGCTCGCTGAGCGACCTTGAGTTTTCTCATACGGCCAGCAGTGAAGAACCACGTCTCAGTTCCATTGGTCATAACTGGCAACACGTACTGGTTGTACAGTCTCGTTTTGAGGTATACCTGACGACAAGATGTGCCGTAATTTCCCGAACGCTGCCCAACCGAGTTGAATCCGCCGATTGACCTCTCGGTCGAAATTGGACTTACCTAGTCGGACAATTTGTTCCAGGTAAACATACTCATCAACAACTTCGAGCTTAGTGCTCCCAACATCTACAGGCATAGGTGTGACATGGACATTAAACATGATCTTAGTTTTGTCCATGTTTATCTTAAGACCTATCCGTTGGGAAACACTATTGAGGTCATTGAGCATAGTGCTTAGGTCCTCCAGCGATTCTGCCATAAGGACTATATCGTCGACAAATCGAAGGTGAGTGATGTACTCACCATTGATGTTAATACCGTATCTTTTCCAGTCTAGAAGCTTGAAAACGTCTTCCAATGCAGCGGTGAAGAGTTTCGGGGATATAACGTCACCCTGTCTTACACCTCTCTGCAATTGGATAGGTTTCGTACTCTGGTTCTGTACTCGGATAGCCATCGTAGCCCTACTGTACAAACACTTCAGCACTTCGATATACCGACAGTCAACTTGGCACCGCTGAAGGGACTGCAGCACCGCCCAAATTTCGACGAAATCAAAGGCTTTCTCATAGTCCACATACGCCAGACATAGTGGCAAATTGTACTCCTCGGACTTCTGTACAATTTGCCGAAGGGTATGTATGTGGTCTATGGTGCTAAAGCCTTTTCGGAAACCGGCTTGTTAGGGAGGCTGGAAGTCGTCAAGTCTGCGCGCGAGACGATTCGTAATGACTCTCGAAAACAGCACGTAGACGCGGCTCAGAAGAGGAATCGGTCTGTAGTTCTTCAAGAGAGCGTTGTAACTTTTCTTGAAGAACAAGACCACCGCACTTCTGCTCCACGCCTCCGGTGTAAAGCCACCATTGAGTACGGAATTAAAGAGGTTCTGAAGGACTTCAAGTACCGGTTTTCCACTCGCTTTCAGAAGCTCCGCTGTAATGGGTCTGGCCACCCAATTTTGTTAAGGGTATCAAAAAATTGTATAAAAAATTACGAATTCAACAGTATTCTTACTTTTTTCTACCTTTAAAAATGACTGATGAGTAAAGTAGTGTTTACGGCAAGGCGACCGCTTTACTCCGCATCGCAATGTGACATCACAAACCGACACGTCGAAGCCACCAGTAGTCTTTATTGTTATATTTTTCTTATTCTCTCCATATTTATTACTCCATATTTGTCTTGTCATGTTATTTATTTATCAGTAACCTTTATTTTCTGTTTTTTTTTTTAAATTTCTGTTATATCACGCTCCTTGGGAATAAAAGTCCGATATGAGAAGATAAAACCCTGTAGATCGAGTTATACCTTAATGCAAAATTTCATCATAATCAGTTTAGTATTGCACGCATTGAATGTTTGCGACCATTGTATTTTCAAAACAGTATAGGTACCAACTACCAACGTAATACCGCAATCAGTTTATTCAAAAGTAAGTCAAAGTAAAACTAGGAACATTTGTTTGCAACCACTGACGAATTACCAACAAAATTTCTTCACGTGTTACTGGGTACTAAATAACAGTACGAGTTGATTAATACTTACTGCATTAGTAAGTTTAAGTAAGTTTTTTCATTTTATGTCGTTGTAAATCATGTGCAACTTCATTGTTCGGTCAATACCTACCTATGTATTACTGCCTAATTAATAATCAATGGTAAAGCTGTATACTTTTCGTAATCTTTTATTAGCAACTTACCTTTAGAGCTTTATTCCATGCATTTCTGATGATAAAAAATCATAATCTTCTGAAAAATACTGCACAACCATAAAAATATCCACTTTTGGCAGATTAGCTGACTGTCTTTTTTCAAAGCCCGCTTCCATTTTCTCTTTTATATAGCACTACACACCGTGACTATACATATAAATTTAATCATATAAAAGCTAAATGTTCAATATTTTAGTTTATAAATCAAATCAAATAGTTCGTGATTAACAGTTTACAAAAAGATCTTATTTAAACACAAGTAAAGTTCAGTATGTGATCGGCCTCATAGGCATACAAATGTCAAATATTATTAATAGTTCATTACATTAATCATAATAATAGATTAGATTGTTAGATTAAAATATTCATCTTAAATAATATTGATTACATTGGATTAGATTATTCGTATTAGATTAGATTATTCATAAATTATTAGTTCAAAATTATTATATAGTCGTTGGGTTTATTATAAGTATTATATCATCTAATACAGTCAACCGGACATTAACTCTGACATTCGATATAATATGTAGGTAAACGAGCGCGCGGTTAAACTTAACAAGTACCCACTGCGCGTTCGCTGTCTGTCGGATTGTGACGTCACGTCACAGAGAACGAGCGAGTAAAAATTTAAAATAATTGCGAAACTTCAAAACGTTATAACTTTCGTATTTCTCCACCAATTTGGATGAAACAAAAACTATTGTTATTTTCATAAACATAGCTTTAAAGCTATATCGGTTTTATTGTGAAATTAGAACAGGTTAGTGTGACCCATTCTATCCTCGCCTGGGGCCTTGCCGTTTTTAAGGTGCTGGAGAGCCATTCTAATCTCACTCAGCCTGACGTCCGGGATATCATCGGAATAGTGTCGGATAAGACTCGCTCTTGGATCGTAACTCATACTTACGTGTGGCTCCAACGATGATGTGTACAGCTGCCCCATAGAGCCTCTCAATCTCACTCAAAATCTCAGGTGTCCCGGAAACGACGCTGCCACACTCGGTCTTCAGCTTCGACAGTTGGCTCTTTCTGGCAGACAGATCTCTAGCAAAGAATTTGGAGCCCTGGTTGAACTCGATCGCTTCTTCAATACGAGCAGTATTAAAGTTGCGTAAGTCCCGCCGCATGCATTTGGAGATCTGTCTGTTCAGTTGCCTGTATGCTGTCAAATCTACTGAAGACTTCAGCTTCATATCCCGTCTAACAGCCATGAGATTAAGAGATTGATCGAAGAGTTTTTGTGTTCTTCTGCGGCGGGTCTTGCAAAACTTGCTCCGACCGCATGGACAGTTTCCACGAGCTAGTCATTCATATCGTCCAATGCATTGCAATCTTCTAGGCACTGAAAATGGTTTCGTAGCTCGAGCTGAAAGGTTTCGGGACTTTGGATTAGAGCACGAGGGGGACGGAACGTTGACTTCATTAGACGTGACCTCTCCAACTTAACGTTTAGGTTCAGTGTGCCTCTCACCATTCGGTGATCGCTGCCGGTTTTCACGAAATTCCCTACTTTCAGCTCACCGTTCTCTCTTGTGCCTAGTTTTCCGTTGAAGTCTCCCATTAACACCGTATAGTGGGTTTTGGAGGAATGCATGGCTCTAGAGATATCCTCATACATTTCC